CCACTGCGCCACTAGGGAAGCCCTCCTATAAGGTTTTTAGAGTGTCAGGTCTTACAGTTAGGTCTTTAACCCTCTTTGAGTTTATTTTTGTGTATGGTGTTAAAGAATGTTCTAATTTCATTCTTTTACATGTAGCTGTCCAGTTTTCCCAGCACCATTTATTGCAGAGACTGTCTTTTCTCCATTGTATAGTGTTGCCTCATTTGTCATAAATTAATTGACTACAGGTGCTTGGGTTTATTTCTGGGTTTTCTATCCTGTTCCATTGATCTCTATTTCTGTTTCTGTGACAGTACCATACTATTTTGATGAATGTAGCTTTGTAGCATAGTCTGAAGTCAGGGAGCCTGATTCCTCTGGCTCCAATTTTCTTTCTCAAGATCGCTTTGGCTATTTGGGGTCTTTTGTTTCTCCATACAAATTTTAATATTTTTTGTTCCAGTTCTGTGAAAAATTCCATTAGTAATTTGATAGGGATTGCATTGAACCTGTAGATTGCCTTGGAAAGTATAGTTATTTTGACAATATTGATTCTTCTAATCAAACATGCTATATCTTTCCATCTGTTTCTGTCATCTTTGATTTCTTTCATTAGTATCTTATAGTTTTCAATGTATAGGTCTTTTACCTCCTTAGGTAGGTTTATTCCTAGATATTTTATTCTTTTTGATGCAATGGTAAAGGAGATTGTTTCTTTAATTTCTCTTTCTGATCTTTTATTGTTAATGTACAAAAATGCAACAGATTTCCATGTATTAATTTTGTATCCTGCAAATTTACCAAATTCATTGATGAGCTCTAGTAGTTTTCTGGTAGCATCTTTAGGATTTTTTATGTATAATGTCATGTCATCTGCAAACAGTGACAGTTTTACTTCTTTTCCAATTTTGATTCCTTGTAATTCTTTTTCTTCTCTGACTGCCATAGATAGGACTTCCAAAACTATGTTGCATAATGGTGAGAGTGGACATCCTTGTCTTTTTCCTGATGTTAGAGGAAACGCTTTCAGCTTTTCACTGTTGAGTATGATGTTAGCTGTAGGTTTATCATATATGGCCCTTATTATGTTGAGGTATGTTCCCTCTATGCCCACTTTCTGGGGAGCTTTTATCATAAATGGCCGTGGAATTTTGTCAAAAGCCTTTTTTCTGCATCTGTTGATACAATCATATGGTTTTTATTCTTCAGTTTGTTGATGTGGTGTATCACACTGATTTGTGGATATTGAAAAATCCTTGTGTCCATGGGAAAAATCCTATGTGTTCATGGTGTATTTCCTTTCAATGCATTGTTAGATAGGTTTGCTGGTATCTTGTTGAGGATTTTTTCGTCTATATTCAGCAGTAATCTCAGCCTGTAATTTTTTTTGTGTGGTATCTTTGTTTGGCTTTGGTACCAGAATGATGGTAGCCTCATAGAATGAATTTGGGAATGTTCCTCCCTCTCCAGATTTTTTGGGAATAGTTTCAGAAGTATAGGTGTTAACTCTTCTCTAAGTGTTTGATAGAATTTGCCTGTGAAGCCATCTGGTCCTGGACTTTAGTTTGTTGGGAGTTTTTAAATCACAATTTCAATACTTGTGATTGGTCTGTTCATATTTTCTATTTCATCCTGGTTCAGTCTTGGGAGATTGTACCTTTCTAAGAGTTTGTCCATTTCTTCCAGGTTGTCCATTTTATTGTGGACATTTAATGTGAATTTAATGTGAATGTGGTATCTTTCATTAAATTGTATCCATGTTTTAAATATAAAAGTAATTTACTCCAATATACTAGAACAAATAATTACTGTAATTAATCCTCATGACAATAACACCATTTATTGAATGTCTACTATATACACATGCTTTATATATGTCTATACCTAATCTTCACAATAGTATCAAGTGATCAATATTTTAATACACATTTTATAAATGAAAAAACTGACTTTCTAAGTATATAAGTAACTAGTTCAGGGTTATGTAGCTAATTAATGATAGAGCCAAGCTTTTAATACAATGTTCGTACACATACACGTTTTCCACTAAGCCATGCTGTGCCAGTCAAGCATTTCTAAGGTTAACAAGTCTCCTCAAACTCTCAGAAACATTATTTTAAAAAAAGAGGAAAAGTCCACAGGTGCCAAAAATTCCAAATATTTAAAATTCATAGAAGTCAACCCATTCTAGCTTCTCTAGCTCTATCATGAGGTCTGCAATGCTTGCAGGTCCCTTTAAGTGTCACTAACAGGCCTAACACAGAAGCACAGGAAATGCACATAGGAACAATAAAGGTGATAGAAGAAGAAAAGAGAAAAGGAGAAATGAAGGGGAAGGATGCTTTTGGTGAGGAGTGGGAAAACCACCACCAACTGGCTACCAGACACCCCCATTTGTGGGTACACTTTAACACTTAATGCATTTCTGATAACGTGTTAAAGTCTCATGTATAGCAGTCAAATATTAGGCAAATACAGGAAGTTTCTCTTAGAGTCTGAAGAATAAAAAAGCTATCTTTTTTTGTTAGACCTAATCGTCAATGATGAAATTCCAACATTCCATACACGTTCTTAAATTTGGTTTTTTGTTTTATTTTGACAGTCAAATACATAGTATACTTGCTTAAATCTAGTGAGAATCTGGTTACAATATAATTTTTTCAAACATTTTCCAATGTTATTTAAAATAGAGTAGGCTTATAAGTCATACTTCTTGCCCTCTGAGTTGTTTTCCAGTTTTCATATTTTTCATAAAAGGATAAAGACAAAATGTAGTAGGATATTAAAATAATTACAAAAACTAGTACACATAAATGGTGATGTTACTGAAATTTAACTACAGCCTGAAAGAGTTCCTTTTTTGTGACAGCTTGAAATGTCTGTCAGCTAATCATAAAGGGCTAAATTCTGAGTAGTGAAGGGTTTTTAGGGACACTGGTGGATAGTTTGTGAAAATTAAACTGCTATGGAAGATGAACACATGAACAGAAATGCCTTTAATTACCTACGTTTTTGTCTCCTTGGTTCAAACTCTCTGAGGCCATCCAGTGTTTCCTTAATTACACTTCATCAAGGACAGAATTGCCTTTTCAAACCTGAAGGGGTCAAAAGTTCATTTCACTCTTTCTTTCTGTTCTACATTCATTAGCTTTTCCCTTAAAGCATCAACAGAGTAAATGCTCTCTTCTGTACACCATGGAAGAACATATGAATGAATCAGGCAGAGTCTTCCCTCGAGGAAGACAAACTCTGAGCTCCATGAGAATGCAAAGACTCGGTTGTTCATTGACTGTTCTTATCTTAACTGCAGAATTCCAGTAAGTGGAACAACAGCTGGTATTTTATCAGTAGGCATTCAACAAACGCTTGTTGATGACTATACCTAAAACTGGGCAAGTGTATTCATTGACCCAAAAAGGAAGGAAGGAAGGGAAAAAGGAAGATACAGAAAGACAGAGAGAAAGAATGAGATAGAACAAGAAAGAGAGAAAGGGAAGCTAGGAGAGAAAGAAAGAAAACTATAGGATTTTCAGCTTGGGGAAACCTTAGCAATTATGTAGTCTATGAAAAACCAGCCAAGGTATTCCATTTAGCAAGTGACAAAGTTAAGAGTAATATTTTATTTATAATTCCCAATACAGTGTTTTCTCAACATTATAGTAAAATAAACAAATATGTATTAAATACTTAAGATGAATCCAGCCATGTTTAGGCTTTAAAAGAATATAGGAAAAATAACATATTAAATCTCTCAATCTTTGCAGAGTACACTGCACAATAAATGGTATCTATAGTAGTAATAATAATTATTAAGTAGTTTATATTTAGAATTCTGAGGATGTCTCATATTAATAAAACTATAACTATGAATACCTCAAGAATTAGGAAAATAAAAGATAAAGGAATCATCAAACTGAACTTTAAACAGCACCATAACATTACTATATTTTACAATGCTTGCTATATTAGTCTTAGTTCTTATAAACAGCTTACTGAACATCTCTTAATGTCATGAGGCATTTATTCTTTAAGATAAACTAAGGTTATTAATATTTCCTTTTTTAATTCACTTATAGCTTATCTCTAGAGCTCTTTGGAGGCGTTAAAGTTTTTCTACTTTTGATTTTCTAATGGTGCCTTTCCCTGAGGCTGTTATCCAATAAAAAAGCAGATTAATCAGCACACTCAGAGTACACTGCTTAGTTTTTCTGAAGTAAGCTAAGTAGCATCTCTAAGGTAGGCCAAGTCCTGAAAAAAAACTTTCCTAATACCTGCATAGCAATGTCAAGTACACTCAGAAACTTGCTTCAGGGAGTGGTACTTTTTATTATTTGTTTTGTTTCTTGTTCTTTTTGTTTTGCTTTTGGAATAAGTAATAAAAATGTGAATCAGTATGGAAGAAACTTTTTGCTGTAAGAACAAGCAACAACTTGAATTTGTCTATATAACAGCTGCATGAGAGGCCATGTTTATACAGTACAGGTATGCTACCTGCACCAGTTGAGGGTGGGGCAATATATAGTAATAACTCACATCTGATTTATGTATCTTTGTTAGTACTTGCTGAAGTGTGGTTTAGAATATAAATTCCTTATTTCTTAGTTTCCATTTCTGAATTGTAAGCTTCTTGAGGTTACGAGTGCCTGATTTGTTCATTACCTGATGTTCCTAGCCCACATCTTACATATTATAAGTGCTGCTCTAAAATATTAGTAAGTTTAACTAATAGTTAACTTCAGACTTAATAATTATACATTAGAAATTATACACTATAAATTATTTAATGTCACTAAAATAAACCGTTTTAACATTCAAAAGGAATTCATGTTTGTTGTGGAATATTCAGAATATCTAGAATATAGTATAAGCCATAATAAGAAATAAAATTTTCATATAGCCTCACAAATAAGACATAGTTGTTCATTCAACAATATTGAACACCACCAGGACTTAGGTAGGTCTTGCTCCAGGTGTGGGTAACATGGCTTAAAAGTTCTGACAAGCCCCTCCTGACTTTACAGAGCCTATGTTCCAGCGACAGACAACAAACGAAATTCAAAACTGCTGGAAGGAGCATGCTGTGGCACAAAAGTTCTGAAATGGCAAGAACTTGATATGCATGAAGCTTTTGTTGCTGGAAAAGGTAAGCAAAGGGTGAGATGGTACATGCAGGTGCTCATGCAGGCCACTGTTAAGAAGCTGAGTCTTTATGTACATAGGAAGCCACTGAAAACTCTTGTGTAGGAAGCCGATGTGGCTTTATTGAAGAAAAAGCAAAAAAACAAAGGCAAAACCAAAGCAAACCACACTGGCACACTGGTTGCTGTAAAGAGAATGGGTGATGAAAACTGGAAGAAAAGAGACCTGATAGGGAGTTCACTGCAATAATACATCTACCCAGGAGATGATGATGGCTTATATTAAAGGGGTAGCAGAGGAAAGGGAGAGAAGGTGATAGGTTCAAGATGTACTTTGGAAACAAAACTAAGAAGACTGGCTGATAGATTAGATGTGGGGAGGAATCAAGAATGACCCTAGGATTTTTATCTGAATCACTAGGTAGACAATAGTTCTGTTTACTTAGATGGCAAGAACGGAAGAAGAAATAGTGTGGAAGATCCCTCTACCTGCCACACAGTTCCACTTCTCTCCTCCTTCTTTGGTAACAACATTCAGAGTTTATATTAAAGATGGAAATGGGTCCAGCTAAAACTATTTTTGCCTTCTTTTCCTTGCAGCTAGGTGTGTGCCCATTGGCTGGGTTCTGGCCAACAAAATATAATTGGAAATAACATGTGAGATTTCTGGAAAGTTGATTTCAAGCTAAGTGATGTTCCCTTTTCACTCTTTTATCTTTCCCATCTTCCTCCTGAAACCTGAACATGATGGCGGTGTCCCAAGACCACTATGGATACTGAAATGATTTGAAAGATGGGGGCACCTGCCAAGACAGTGTGATGACCAAGGAGGCTTCATAACAGCTTTGAATGAAGACCTTCAGCCCTCTCATATGAAAAAGAGAAAAAAATTATATTTTAAAGTCATTATATTGATAGTTTCTTTTATTTGCAGCTAAATTCAATCTCCACTGATACCAACTGGCTTGAGGAGAGGGGTGAAAAATGAAGAACTATTTCTGAAACACTAAGTTGAGGTGTCTATTAGACATCCAAATGGACATGTCAAATAAACAACTGAATATAGAAATCTTGTCCTAAAATGAGAGACCAGCACTGGAGATATACATCTGGGAGCTACTGTTGAGTTAAAGCTATGGGACTGATAAAGGTTATATAGATAGAAAAGGGCCCAGTCCTGAACCCTAGGACACCCAGATTTAGGTATCTGTACAAGAGAAGGAGCTAGAGAATAAGGCTGAGAAAAGGAGTCCAGTGAGGTAGTAAGAAACTTCAAAGACTGTGGTTTCATAGATGCAAAGGAAGGAAAATATACTAAGATATAGGGAGTTGTCAATTGTACTGAATGCATTCAGTAGAGAATTGAATTCAATGTAGAAAGAGTACATGGGAGGGCTTTAGTTTCCTGCAACGCGGAAAAATACATATCCTGGAAAGCCTCCCAACAGAAAACTCAGAAATACTGGACAAAGTACAACAAACACCGTCTTAAATAGGTAGCTAAGCTACAAGAAACTAAGGAGAATCCTAAAGGGTAGATAATGAAGAGGTGTTAAAGAGGGACAAGCTGAAACTAAAACTGTTTGGTTGCCCTTGGGTAATTTGCCAATCACCATTTAAATTTTTCTTAAAAACTGACTAGATACAAAAATATTAAGTATTTGTAATATATGAAAATAATCATAACGAAATGAACACTTACAAATGCCTTTCAAATCACCTCTGAGCCCCTTATACTAGCCACTAGCCTTTCCCCTCCTTGCTAAGAGTTAACCCCTTTCCCATGTGTTATTACTACCTTCACTTAATAGCTTCATTAAAGCTGTGGCCCCCCAAAAGTTACTATTTATAATGTGTTCATAGCAAGTTTTACTATGTTTAAATGAATTCAGTCTTTATGTTATTCTGCAACTTCATTTTTTTGGCTTAATTGTATTTTTCTGAGGTTTATCAATGCTGTTACATGAAGCCACAATTTAGTAACTGATGATAAAAGTAACACTGCAGTGCTGTGGGAAGAAGATGGTTTTGTCAATAAATGTACAGGCCAATTGGAAAGTACAAATGAAACTTAGCTCCTACCTAACCCAGCTCACAAAAAATAGAATGGTGGGTTTGAGAACTAAATGTAAAAGTTAAAACAATCAAGGATCTAGAAGGTAACATCAAAAATCTTCATGACATCAGAGTACAAATATATTTCTTAAATTAGAGGCAAAACTTACTAGCCATAAAAAAGAAAGAGGACCACATTAAAACTAGAGATTTTTGTTCATCAAAAGATTACTAAGAGCATAAGAGAGTGGAGAAAGTATATGCAACAGGTATATCCAACAATGAGTTTGTAATGAAGAATATTCAAATAATTTTTACAAACTGACAAGTTTGACAACCTAACAGAAAAATTAGCAAGAAATCTGATTAAGAATTTCACAAGAGTTTAACTAAATGACCAAAAATTATAAGAAAAGGTCTTGACGTGATTAAACAGGAAGAATATGCAAGTAAAAACCACATGAGGTACACAATAGAATGACTGCAATTTAAAAATGACAATTCCAAATGTTGGAAAAGATCTGGAACAAAAGAATCTGTCACGCTGGTGGAATAATAAATTGATACAGAAACTTTGGAAAATTCATTGGCAGTTTGTATTAAAGGTAAGCATTCATATATCCTCATGCATGCTTCCATTCTTAGGTGCATACCTAGCAAAAATGCATATATATGCATTGTTTACCCAGAGGAATGTCCAAGAATGTTCATAGCAACATTATTCATACAACTCCAAACTGTCCAAACTAGAAACAGACCAAACTGTCCATGAACAGTAGAATGGATAATTTTCAGAATACCCATAGAGCCAATACTTGACAATAATGAAAACTGTAGTAAAATGCAACAAAATGAATGAGTTTCACAAAATCAATGCTGAACAAAAAGCAAGACACAAGAGAATACATACTTACTATTCATTTTTCAAAAGTACAATAACACATATGGTGTGAGACATAAAAAGAGTAGTTAACCTTCAAGAAGAAGGGAGGAGTAATGATTGGGAGAATCATGAGAAACTATGAGGGAGGTTTCTGGAGGGCTGGTGACATTTTATTTTAATCTGAGTGCTGTTTACATAGGTGGTCTTATTCATTTCTGCAATCTTAGCAACTGAGAATAGGGTTAAATATTATAGGTTTGCATTAAATGTTTGTTGACTAAGTTTTGTTGAATTTAAGATGAGAGGGAGAAGCCTTATAAATGAGATCATAGCTGTTATATTAGTTCAGCACTCCATAATATATCTCTACTGAAACCAAGAAACCAAAAGTGGTTCCCTTATGCTTCACAGATCCTTTTGAAAGCAAGGAAATGTTTGTCAACCATATACACGTCTATACTTTTTAAATTTTTAAATATTTAAAATTAGTAAATTAATAATTTCTGGAATTTTTTTTTTGGCCACACCACACAGCTTGCAGAATCTTAGTTCCCCGACCAGGGATGGAACCCATGCTCCTGCAGTGGAGGTACAGAGTCCTAACCACTGGCCCACCAGAGAATTCCCAGGAAATTTTCTTATTCACATTATCTTTTTCCCTGACGATTACAAATAAATTAGGTAATGGGAATGAAAACGTACATCTGGTCACTAAATTGGCTTCTAGTGGGGATAAGGAAGTCCTAAATGACTTTCACTGAATTTCAGGAATGCAATGTTAAAGTTAGCTCTGGAAGTTTTAGAAGGTGCCAGGAGAGAAAAATAAGAAAGCTTAAAAATGTCCCTAAAATAATAAGGCTTCCAGCTTCACACTAACAAGAGGTTCTAATGAATAAACTGGAATGCTTAGGAACTGTTACAACATAACAAATGGAGAGTTAAAATATTTCCTTCTTCTAAATGCTCTCAGTAAAATAAACAGAAAAACACTTAAGAACTACTGAGCCATAAAAATTCAGGACATTTCAAATTTATGAAATATTAAGGACAAGAAGTATTGCACATGAAAAAAAGAGTTCTCTAATCTTTTGTCTCCACAGTAAAGAAAGAAGATGGATTTCAAAGGGAAAAGGAAAAAAAACAAATTTGCGCTTTTATGTTCTCCTTTCCCGTAATAAATAACAATTAAATTTCAGGTTTTCTATTTGTAGGTAAAGAGTGGATACTCTTCATTATGACAAGGTTGAGAAGGAAGGAAATCATCTGAACCTTCAATTATACTTTGAAGCAGACTCAGACTGCAACAGTACTCTATAAACATTCAAACATCCTAAAGAGGCTATTAATAAATAATTGCCTGAGATTTAACAGCAATAACAACAACAACAAAATCCCAAATGCTCCATAGCTACAGACCACTCTTCCAGCTCCAGGTAGCCACCTCCACGAGTATGCTCCTATTCAGAGGAACCAGCTTTGTAAAGGATTTAGCTCAGTGCAACCATTAAACTCACTGAAAAACAGCTCAAAGCACATGTCCTATTGATGGGTATCTATATTGCCATTTATCATTGTCAGTATTATAATGGAACACACATCTCGAGAGGCAACTAAGCCTCACAGTTCAGAACACAAGTTCTAGAGCCAGACTGAGTATGAATTCTGCCTCCACCATTTATAAGCTATGACTTTGGGCCAGCTGTTCAACCACTCTGGCCTGCAAAACCATTAACTGTGAAGAGGAAATAATGTATCTACCTCAGAGATCTATAGGGATTGTGATGGTTTATGTGTCAACTTGATTTGCCACAGGGTGCCAAGATTAAACATTATTTCTGGGTATGCTGTGAGGATATCTCGGGATGAGGTTAGCATTTGGATTGGCAGACTCAGTAAAGTAGATGGTCCTCCCCAACAGGGGTGGGCATCATCCAACCCACTGAGGGCCTGAATAGAACAAAAGGAGGAGGATGGGGGAATTCATCTTCCACTGCCTCGCTACTCTAGCTGGGACATCACATTTCTTCTGGCCTTGAACTGGGATTTATACCATCAGTGGCCCTGTTTCTCAGGTCTTCACACTGGGTCTGGGTCTCTAGCTTGCAGACAGCAATACATGGGACTTCTTAGCGATCATAATTGCATGATCAAATTCCTCATAATATGAAACAAAACCAATAGGAGATATATACCTGGAGGACCCTAATACAGGCGTTAATGAGTTAATACATGTTATCTAGCACCTAGAATGTCCTCAATAAGCGTTAATTACCATCGTTATTTTCATTACCATTACTGTGTAACCCAAAGAGTAGGAACAGCTCAAAGACTTACGAACTTTGTTCTAAGAAAGAAGGACAGTCAGTCATAATTAAATAGATTCAAGAAATCAAAACACATCCTGGAAACCAGGGCTGCTGTGGGGGCTGATTGCGGAAGAAAGAATCAGTATCCAGAAAGGTCTTCCCCATGATTTCCTGATCTTTAAAGGAGATATTCTACTAGCAGTAAGGCCATCCCAACTCTTTCTTGTGCACAGTGGGAAAAGATATAGGAAACCTCAGTGAGACGTCTCTAACCACTATCCACATAAAAGGAGAGAAAAACACTGTGAGGCTGAGAGGTAACACCTTGAGGCCAGGTGGTGTGAGAGGTATGATGATGAGTGAGCAATGGGACAGAGGACCCAGGTGAGGCCAGTGGAGGACAACCTGGCCACATAGTCTTGCTTCCCACTAACAACTTTAAGGAATTTTAACAATATTTTGTCAAACTTACGCCATCTCCTCTGTGAGCAACTCCCCACCCCCTACCCCTAGGTGATGGCAGATGCCTCAAGCCTTTCATGGGTAGCTAAGGGACGTAAGGCCAACCTCACTAACTGCTTGAGTTTCTGACTCTACTATGCAACTTCTGCCAAAGATTTCAGGGTAAGGACTCATGGTAGGGAAAAATACCGCCTCAAGAGGGAAACTGCAAGGTGTGCAGACTTAATGAAGTTTGACTTTGACTAAACGTAGTGAAAACAGGGAATTGGGGTGATTTGTTTTCAAGCGCTTAGGACACAATACTCTCCTTGGTTATATGTTACCAAAAGGACTCACAACCAATGGAAGGTGAAGGGCGGAAGTCCTGGTTCTCACCCAGCATCTGATAAAGGTCTCCCCTTTGGGCTCATAATGACAGAACATCTCGTGAATATTTAAAAGGAAACACCTTTTTGGATACAGATTCAAATAAATGACCTCATTGTACAACAATGAACTCTTCTTTGCCAGGACCCCCTCCTCCTCCTCCCTGCTTCCCATATACTTTCAGGTTCTTTTGTAGGCACTGATCCATGTCAGTTTTGAATATATATATATGTGTATATACATATATATATATATGTATGTATATACACACATATACATACACACACACAGACACACACATATATCCAGCTTTTTCCTGAGTGGGGTTGAGAGGGTAGGCATGGGGTAAAAATAATGCACCTTTATCTTTCTTTACAAATTGTAAATTAACTCAATTTTCTAAGCTTCCCCCCCAACCCCACCCCTTTTCTGTCTGTATCAACACAGAACTTGTTCAGCCAGAGGAGTCTGTTGTGGTGAGACTGTCAAATATGTGAACAGACTGTTGTCAAACAGCCTTGAAGAAAACCAAGTATTTGTTCACCATATGAAAGCACATTCACACAAACATCTCTCTACCAAATCCCTGAGCAAATATTCTTAAAATCTGTAGTGGGATGGATGTTCTACATCAAGTTTACAACAAAACAACAACAAAAAACTCAAAATGTATTATACACGAGGCACCATGCTTAGCATTGATGTGGACACAAAGGTATGCAAAACCTGTACTGTCTAGGTATGCAGTAAAGCTATGAACTTGAGCCATTTGCTTAATGCCTCCTGGTGGGCTTCAGTTTCTACTTTCGTACAACAGGACCAAATTGTCACACCTCTGTGGTTGTATCTACCCTTAAAATTGGCCTAACTAGAATGGTCAAACATATACACAGGAAATTTAGCCAATAATGTAAAAATACAAAGAATGTTAAGTGTGTGACGAGTGTTATTGCTCTTATACGAGTTCAGAGGAAAGAGTTCACTGCAGGCTGAGTGTTGCAGGGAAGGCTTCCAGGAGGAGGGAGGACCTCACCTGGATACTGAAGACAGAGTAGGCACTGGACGGCCATGAAGACAGGATAGGGAGTTCTATCAGTAACTTGGCAGAGCATTTGTGGGTGGTAAAGACTGGATGTGATAACATGAAAAGGAAGTTTTATTGAGAGTTAGCACAAGGTAGGTTTGGGGAAATGTATTGCAGTTTGACTATGATTCATCCATTCTCTACTTTTCTTTTGTATGAAAAATCTCAAACTAAGAAATATGCAGTGCTCTGTGGGATAAAATCATTCTGGCAATGCTATTGATTGTTTATTTTTGTAATTTTCTAATTGTAGTATGTATTTAATAGAATATAAAACTGAAAAATCAGCTTTCATAACATTTTCCAATCTGCATTTTTTCATACAGTAAAAAAATGCTAGCTTTATATATTAATAAACCATCTTAAAATACTGGACAATACTCAATATCAAATGAAAAATAACTAATAATAATTTTGTAAAATATTATTAGTCTGCCAATCAACAAATGTTCATTTGGCACCTACTACGTGCTAGGCTCCACAGTAGGAGCTGGGTCAGATACGAACAATAAATGCGTTCTGGCTGGAATAAGAATCACTGATTTGAAATGCTGAAGTGGGTGTGGAGGAAAGGGAACATTCCTGCACTGCTAGTAGGAATGTAGCTGGTGCAGCTACTGTGGAAAACAGTATGGACATTCCTGAGAAAACTAAAAATAGAATTACCATATGATCCAGCAATCCCACTCCTGGGCATATATACAGACAAAACTGCAGTTCAAAAAGATACATGCACCCCTATGTTCACAGCAGTACTATTCACAATAGCCAAGACAGGGAAACAACCTAAATGTCCATCAACAGATGAATGGATAAAGAAGATGTGGTATATACACATATACAATGAAATACTACTCAGCCATAAAAAAGAATGAAATAGTACCATTTGCAGCAACATGGATGGATCTAGAGATTATCATACTATGTGAAGTCCGTCAGAAAGAGAAAGACAAATACCATATGATATCACTTATATGTGGAATCTAAAATATGACACAAATGAACCTATCTATGAAACAGAAACAGAATCAGGGACATAGAGAATAGACTGGTGGTTGCCAAGGGGGAGGGGGTGGGGGAGGGATGGATTGGAAATTTGGGATTAGCAGATGCAAACTAGTATATATAAAATGCATGAAACAACAAGGTCCTACTTTATACCACAGGGAACTATATTCAACATCCTGTGATAAACCATAATGGAAAAGAATATGAAGAAAAATGTATGTATGTACAACTAAGTCACTTTGCTGCACAGCAGCAATTAACACTGTAAATCAACTATACCAACTATACTTCAATAAAATAAAATAAGGTGTACATAACAAAACATGGTGCTCTGAATCTGACCTCTTGCATTTCCTCTAGGGGAGGTCTCTAAAAGAGTGAAATGACCTTATACGTAATAGACCTTGGATATTTATGTTCCAACACATATATAATTTTCACTTGTGGGACATAATGGCTCTGTAAGAATATGTTTATTTTTTGAATCTATTTCCTCTTTTATGATGCAAACTTTGAAGTGATATTTCATAAAGTTTCTGCCTTCTCAAATTTCAAGGCATATCTCCTCATTCACATGTGCCAAAATTTGATGAAAGTTTCTGTGTATCCACCTGGTTCATGTCATTATACATCTCAATAAATAAATAACAATTAAAAAAAGAAACACTGGTTTGAAATGCTGGAGAGGGTGTGGAGAAAAGGGGATCCTCCTACACTGTTGGTGGGAATGTAACTTGGTGCAGCCACTATGGAAAACAGTAGAGAGGTTCCTTAAAAAACTAAAATTAGAGCTACCATATGATCCTGCAATCCCACTCCTGGGCATATATCTGCAAAAGATTAAAAAAACTAATTTGAAAAGATACATTCCCCAATGTTCATAGCAGCACTATTTACAATAGGCAAGACATGGAAGCAACCTAAATGTCCATCAGCAGATGAATGCATAAAGAAGATTTGGTATATATACACAATGGAATACTACTCGGCCATAAAAAAGAATGAAATAATGCCATTTGCAGCAACATGGATGGATCTAGAGATTATCATACTAAGTGAAGTAAGTCTGAAAGAGAAAGACAAATACCATATGATATCACTTACATGTGGAATCTAAAATATGACACAAATGAACTTATTCTCAAAAATGAACTTATTCTTGAAACAGAAACAGACTCAGAAAACAAATTTATGGTTACCAAAGGGAAAAGGGGGTGGGGGAGGGATAAATTAGGAGTATGAGATTAGCAAATACAAACTACTATATATAAAATAGATAAACAACAGTGTCCTACTGTATACCACAAGGAACTATATTCAATATCCTGTAATAAACCATAATGGAAAAGAAGATGAAAAAGAATACATATATATATTCAGATACATATCTATATATATATCTGAATCACTTCACTGTACACCAGAAACTAACACAACATTGTAAATCAACTATACTTCAACAACAAAAACAAAAAACCCACTGGTTTTGAAACGAAGAATAGCTCAGTCAATAAAAAAATTTAAATAGGTCTTTCTGATAACTGAAGAATGTTGCAATTTATATGTACTTTATCCCAAAGAAACCTAAAAATATTTTTTACCTTGACTTATTAATATTGAATCTGTCTTGATACATAACAGTTAACTACACTACACAAATACATTTTTATACTTGCCAATGCAGAATATTTAAATTATGTTGATTATTCCTAGTTTATAGAGGTGACCAAACTTATCATACAACTGTTTCAAAATATCCACTGATTAGAAGGGAACAAACAGAAGTCTCATAGATATCTATGAGCTCCTTTTCCCTCATCTACAAAAGAAAAAGGTGGTGAGAGAATTCTGACATTACATCCTGTGAGAAAATTTTGTATCATGAATTTCGCAAGGCATAACCCAATCCCATCAATTTTCAGTGTTTTTGGATTTTCCTTGAAAAAACAAAAACTACAGCTGCAGGCACACACAAGGCTAACTGCAATAGCTCCTTCTCAGGGAAGAATTTGTTAAAGGAAATAGATTCTAATGGAGGCATGGTCCTTCTGCTTGTTCCCTACATCCCTTTCCTTCCTCGCTTCTCGAGGACTTTCCTTGTATAATTATATTCTCTCAATTGACAAAAATGTCCACTAGTTTTCTCCTACAAGTGACTAAATGTTTAAATTCTAATTATTTAACCAAGGTGTTTAAGGTCAGCATTAATAATGGTGCCTACTTGTGTGTGTGTGTGTGTAAGGAGGGGGTGGAGTGGGGGGGCTGGGGACATGGGAGAGAGGGGTGCAGACCTGGCAAATGGGGGACAGAGACGGGAGAGGGCTTCTCACTGTTTATCTTTCAAATGCTTTTTGGTCTTTGAAGCACATAAGTATAGACCCTTAACAATCAATCAAGCAGTCAATCAATCAATAATACCTAATAACAGCAACAATAACAACATAACTGGAAATTTAAAAGAAATTGTTCTCCAATCTCTGTAGGATTATTAGAATGGAGCTATGTAAGAGTTGTAGCACAAGTTGCTGGTTAAATTTGTGTAAATTAGACACGAAACGTCAATTGTGGACTTCTTCCATAAAATATTTAGCATATGCATTTTTAAAATTTGTTCTTATCATGTTTTTAAATATTCACTAATCTGCCACGTTAACAACATCGGCCATCTTTCCCCACGGGAAACACCTCAACCCTAGTAGGGCCATCACCCTTTAAGCAAAGAGCACCAACCCAATGCCTCACAGCTTCAACTATGAAGGCTGCTGCATTAGCTCAATGTATCGCAATAACTTACCGCTTTGGATACTTAACTGGTGTCCGGACGCAGGTGGAGGAGCCGGTGCGGTGCTAGGGACTCGTCGCAGCCAGAGGGGACCTGGAGGAGAAGACGGACGTGCGTGGGCAACCGGCTATGGCTCAGGCTCCTAGGACCATGGGCGTCAGGCTTTGAAGACACGAGGGTCCCTGCGTCCATGAGGAAGAGCGACTGCTCCGGCAGCCCTGCCTCTTCCATGGTACTGGAGGCCAAGAGCCTCAGGCCACCCCAGTACGCGCAGGTGACTTCAAGGGGTGGCCTGCTCCTCTCAACCGGCATCCAGGCCTTGGACGCGCCAAGAGACGGGCCCTTCTACGGCTCTGCCGGGACGGAACGAAGGGAGAGAGCTTGCGGTTTCCGCAGGCTGCACCGGCCCACTGGGCCCAGTGCACGAGAGCTGTTCAGAAAGGTGGTTCTCCTCGTCCACCACCAGCTACTGGAGCTCTGCCACACAGTGTTTGTGGCGGAGAAGTGGCCCAGCCCCTCACAGACGGTTTGAAGGCCCCAGGGCCTCGCACAAAGGAGCAGACGCTCTGCTGCGACCAGAACACTTCCACCTCTTTATGCCGCTGGCCGCCATCTTGGCTGGCAGGGCGGTCGCGGGGCGCGGGCTACTTCCAGCTCCACCTCCGCCTCGAGGCCAGGGGCTCACGCCTCTCCCTAGCGCTCTTCGCCGCTTGCAGCCTCTGACGCCGCTTGCAGCCTCTGACGCCGCTTGCAGCCTCTGACGCCGCTTGCAGCCTCTCTGACGCCGCTTGCAGCCTCTGACGCCGCTTGCAGCCTCTGACGCCAGTCTCCTTCCGCTGCCAAGCCCAGCTGTGCTCCGAGTGGAGAAAGTGCGCTGAAGAGCCCGGATATGCGTGGCTTCGAGGTACCCAGCTCAGCTCGCTGGCGTCTGGACTCCTGAAGAAGGCAGCGGAGGAGACGCCGTGAGAAGGCCGGACTGGCAGGTGCAGAGGCAGCTGGTGATGCCCCGGCGTTTGGAAGGACGGAAACTGCATGACCCTTCCTGCGTGGCTAGAACGCTTCTTAGGCCAAACGATGCCAAGCAGAGCCTATTTTGTGACCCTGTGTGAAGATATTTTCAGATATTTTTGCGCACCGTTGCACATAAGGAGGGCAGATGGACGTGGTCGTGAGCTTCCGACGGAGCAGGTACCCAGATCTCATTCTAAGGTCCACTTGGCCCCTTCCAGGCCAGCAGGTGTGGCCACAGGTGAGATGAGGGTGCCCATCAGGCGGGGAAGTTATACAAGCCTCTTGCGCTTTTCTGCACCGCAGGCTTGCTTTCCTGACACCTTCGGCTGTAAATTGCACCGCATTTCAAAAACCCACCCCAATGAATAAAAGGAGACCTTGCTGGGGAAAAAAAAAAGTGTTCAAAGTCAAGAGCAGCCATACATCAGTCAGGCATGATTTTGCATATGACAATTCACAAAAGTCAACATTTTTCAAGTGTTTTCT